TAAGCTTCAGCTGAGGATATTACATGCCAATGTGAGCTCCAAATATTTCAAAATCATTCAAGTTTTCTTATGATCATTTATGGAGGATGTTCATGTATATTAAAGAAATGCAATTTACTCGAGTCCCTTATCTAGTCAAACTGTTGTTCTAGTAATTTCGAGGAGTTTGCTTACAACTTCGCAGAAGGAACTTGTGACTTTTAACAAGCGAACAACTTGTGACTTTTAACTGAGGAGATCTGCTACTAAATTCAATGTTTCTTGACGGCCAGTATTTGTCATACAGTTTCAAGGGCAACAGTGTAAGAACAAGCAATCGAACGAAGAGACTCGCCTGCTTGATAGGAATGGTGAATAATAATTTGAGAGCGATAGTTCATGGAGAGATTTGCCTCAGCTTCGCTGCGCTCAATAAAAAAGCGAGACTCCACACTGAGAGCGGCTGATCAACATGAAGCTGACGGCCCTTATTTTGAAGGAGCTGTGGCTGGCGTCATTCCAGCAACATTTGGTCCAAGCACCGCAGTATGACAGAGTCGTTGCTCTTTTTTGAGTTTCAGTACACGAGTTATCCACATTTTTACTCTTAATTAAGAGTTTCTCAGGTTCTCTCGAGAATCAGCTGAAGAAAAACGCCAGGAAGAAAACGTACTTTGTGTGTGTGTGGCTGGTACTGGCTGTGGCATGTCTATAATCGTTTGCACTGGTGAAAATAGTGCTCTGCTAGTAGCAATGACAGTAGCAGGGGGCTGTGCTTGAGCTCTTTGTTCCATGATCCCGTTGGACAGAAAGGTCCTGTCAATCGGACAGTTGTCTGACATGTTTGCTGGGAGGGGCATTATGCCATCGCAGCGGAACGAATCATTTAGAAATTGCTTTGATCGAGGGACAAATTCGGGAGCTTTCGTCCATTCTGAAAAATTTTCGTTCAAAAATTCACTCAAACTCCAGCAATTACTTTCAACCGTTGACTGCCTTCAGACTTTGCAGAAAAATTTGGTTTTCGAGATTATCCAATTTCTTGGCAAGCACCGTGCTAGATAATTGCTTTTGCAATTATTACATCTAAAGGTTGAAGTCCTCGCCAAATCAACTTACTTGCCTTCCAAGCCACGGCAGTATTTCACATGTTAAGTAATAATGCATCCAAACTTCAGTTTTTTAGCTTTCACAGTCCTAGTCTCACGAGCACAATTACATGCATATATCAACACACAAGTGCGTATACATACACATACCGCTCGGACTAACATACCGACCGCAGCTATGCTAGGCCTTTCGATCCCGCGCTGCATATCTCCTGTTAGTGCTCACCGCCTGTTCTATATATGTGCGCACCTCTTCGGGCGCCTCCCAAATGGTCGTTTACTTTCTCGGGAATACCACTCACTAAAGCGCACCGTCCCCCGGTTTTCAGCAAGGCGAGCAAATGTTTTACATATCGGATTTTACTTTCTCGCATAGTCGTACATAAATATAAA